AGATTTATACAATCGTTAACAACTGGTGAGATTTGCCTTGTGTAAAACAATTTGATCAATACCATTTAGGCTGATCAAAAGTATAGTTATTCAGTTGATCATAACATAGTGTACTTAAAAATTTCCAATATAAACTTAGTATGATCTTTAAAGAAATCATCACTATATATGCACATTACAGCACATATGATCAATAGTTCGATTAGATCTAACGCTATCTCCTTCATAAAAGATCTGGGTAAAACAAAATAAGATCAGTACAATTTATGTTTTCAGAGGAACAATTATTTTTTTTTCATTTTATTATTCTATATAAAAACTTTAATTGATAGTGATTATAGGATTTCGTTTCATGTTGTATAAGTAACAGAGAGATGAAATGAAAAAGAAATAAACTTCTGCTATGAAACAACTGAAAGCGTGTTTTTTTTTTTCAAGGAAAAATTAAACATGTAATTTATAAGAGTAAAAAGCTTACATCAAAATAATTTTTTAAATGTAATCCAATTTGAAATGAATAAAATCTCTCATCTTCTATTACATAAGCAAATAGCTATCTGAACTTAATAGCTAACTGGATAACTTGGTAGTGTTTTAAGCGAATAGCATAATGGATTGAAGTTTTGGGATGAGCAACGTCAACTCTGAAATGAAGGTAAATCTAACTGTAAACGACATGCACGCCCTTGATCTCACTGTTATCTACATTCTATTTATTCTTTGAATAAGATTGTTGTTTTAATGATGAAATGAGTTCAATGATTTAGTAATTATTTGTATTACACAGAAAAGTATTTAATCAACCAATCAAAATTTAGACCATTTCATTGGACATCTCCAATTAACAGTATACAATTATTGAATGGGATTACAACCAAGTAATTTTGAACTTATATCAACATGAATTAATAAAATAGTTAATCTACAGTATTGACAAGTGTTAGATTATGTAATTTAACAGATCTGACAATTTTTCAAAACTTGGTTCTATGCAACTCAACATTGTACATGTCTAGGATGGGATCATGGTGGATAGAATATGTGTAACAAGTAACATCAATTGAATTATTGTTCGTAAATAGAATTTTACGGTGAACTTATGCCTTGGGAAATAAATATGTTTTTAGGGTAAATTCTGATAAACAGAATAATAGTCTAGATACATGTGATACTTTTAGAGGTCATGTTTCATAGAACAGGCAGTTGTTCAAATGTATACTTTGCCTACTCTATGGATGTAACACAGTTTAGAAAGAAAATTTTACATTGAAAAATTCACATTTGCCTAGCACCACAATACACATAACTATCAAAACAATAGGTATTTCAATTGAATAAATATTCCAAGCTCATAGTCGAGAATAGATTATTCAATTGGTCAAAACAATCAACCGTGTATAGCATCAATGTGTATTCGCTCAATTTACCATGCTTCATATAAACACAAACGAAAAAGGACAAATGGAAATGATAATAATAATAATAATAATAATGAAAGTAAGAAACTAAACATTAGAAAAAAAATCTATGTCAAAAGGGCTGTATGTCCGATGCAACATGAGACTCAAACAAAGACATAAAGCACAGTGAATAAAAGAAACCAAATACAGTCATGTGACTATGACTAGTGAACAACATACATGCATCATTTGAATTCTTTATCTATGCAGTAAATAAGTATACTACATACAATACCTCGCAGATATTCGCTATACTCAAGTCTAGGGAGTTTGAAATTTCAAAATATAATTTCATTCATTTAAATCAATTCCACTTGAAACAAAAATATAATATACACTAATATAAATATTCATATAAAATGAACCAACAATGAGATGATGATAATCTAATCGATCATATGAATTAAATAAATGTGATTAGCCCAAAATATCTATACCTAATGTGATCATTTATTTCTGTTATGATCAATGAATTTGATCAGTTCACTGGTATATCACCATACAATTTGGATTATAAATAAATTTTTAGAAAAACGTAAATATAAGTGGATAATTCTAGAAAGAAGACGTGACAAGTGGGGTTCGGGTGTAGGCAGTAACTACCGAAGACAAATGAGCGAGGTTGCGTGAAATCCTTAGATTGATCAGAGTTAGACATTAACACCGTCAAATGCCAGCTCAGTGCTCCGTAGGTTAGACGTTCGCGCGCAATACCGAAGGTCCTGGGTTAGAATTCTGCGCGGTGCAGGAGTCATGAATGAGCACTGCCACCAGGATGAAACGGCCGTCCAGTGCTTCCAGGTTTCTGATAGTGGTCTAGCAATGATTCATTCATGATTTTATTGTGTAAGGACAATATTGTTTCCAATCAGATCGCTGTCATCAGGCTTTCACTCTATTATACATAAATACTTATATGGATAAATCAAGGCAATTTGTGTCAATGACCACAATCAAATAGGTTACGTAACTACACATAATAGGCAAATGTATAGGTTGATAGAAATAAGACAGGTGTACTAATATTAGTAAAAATAATAAAATACAATAACAGAAGCGCGTACATCATTCAGTCAGTATCGCATGGCAATGGGGGGGGAAGTTGAGTATTCGGGTAAGTGACTGTATATGTGAATTAACAGGTATGTTTATGTGCTTGACTATATGTATTACCTATATTGTAGAATCCTTTTATATAATGAACTGAAGACTGATAACGATCTAATTGGAAATAATATTGTATGCTCACAAAGGGAATCTTTAATATTTTAAAGTAAATTTTTGTCAATGATAAAGGATCAATACATAAAAACTGGTATTTTTGTGGAAAAAAACCCATACAAAACAAAGTCATATTCATTTTTTTTCGGAATCTTAACATTTAAGGTTAGATTATTCTCTAGAATCAATCAATCAATAATATCATTAACAAAGAAAATAAGAGTTGAAAGTAAACAGTGAAAAAATTTGAAATGTAAAGTTCTTGAGTGCTTTAGCTATTTTGATGAAACAAGGGGTTCGAAACTGATATCATATCGTTGAAACGAATCACTATTCTCTGATATATATATATATATATAAAGGATAACAATTTTTCAACATTTTAACGGTTTGATTACAGTAGCTTTTTGTTTGGTTGTGAAACTCAAAAGTATATACAACTGAACAAAAATTTAATAATAATAATAATAATGTACACAATTGGTTTGTGATGAGTTTTCCAACTCTCATGGGTGTATTTCTTATACCCACCAAACCGGTTCAAACATTGAACATTTGCACTTCGTCCCTTCAATATCGTCCATAACACCAACACCGCTATGAAAAGGAAATAAGTTGAACTTCTCTGGCAGTGGTTATAGACGTGTGGCTAAAGGAGAGCATTTGAAGAGAGAGAGAGAGAGAGTGGACTCTTCCCACTCTTAGCTGCATAACAAGATATTTGAGGTAGAGTGGCAACTTTATTCAAAATTAAAAAACAGTGACACAAATTTCTTTTTATATCTCATTCTACATTTTCTATGTTGTGGAATAATCACAGTCTGTAGAGACATTGATGCTAATCTTTTCGTTTATACTGATTGCGTTTAGAAGTATTGATTTTTATATAACACAATACAGTGTATGTTGTTCTGTTTAATCAAAATACTATTTACTTTATTTTTTTTTCTAGAAATAATTTAAATAAACAGAATTAGCAATCATGTTTACCGAAATAAAATGATGTACTGTATTGAACAAGAAATAAAAATGGAACAACAAATAGACATAACCACTACCATACACCATAATGAACTATGAGCTTTGAAGACAAAAAAAAAATTGAAATGCTCATTTTGTCCTTAAACAATAACATGTAAACATAATGATGAGTTGTTAATCAAGCACACAAACTATTTTACATGTTCACAAGAAAATGTAATGCAAACAAAAGAATAGAATGTATTTTGAAAACAAAATGAGTTAACAATGAATTTAAAGAATCAGGCTTAAAAATATCATTACGTGGTTGTGAAGATTGTTAAGTTACACATTTTTGAACCATGAATCGATCAATGTTAGACCACCATTAGAAACCTGGACTTAACAATCTTCACAACCCCGTAATGCAAATTACCTGTGCTCACTAGTGATCAGCTTCTTGAGGAATCTTCTCCGGGTTCTAGTGGGAAGACGTGACCAGTGAAGTTCAACCTGTTCGGGTGTGAAGCAGTGCTCACCGAAGACTGTATATGAGGTTGCACAACTTTGTGAATTGATCAAGTTAGACATTAACACCATTAGATACCGGCTCAGTGGTCCGATGGTTAGGCGTTCGCCTACAATACCGAAGGTCCTAGGCTCGAATCCTGCGGGGTGCAGGAGTCGTGGATGCGCACTGCTGAGGAGTGCCATACCAGGACGAAACGGCCGTCCAATGCTTGCAGGTTTCTAATGGTGGTCTAACATTGATCGATTCATGGTTTTAAAAATATCATTCACTTTATATGAATTAAACAAGTATATGCATGTAAATGAATTAATGATAAAAAAAACAAACAATCTTGGAAATGAAGTGTTTAAAACTAATGATTGTAGTCATTGATTTACTTATAACAATGAAAAATGATAAGTTCGACGACTCACGAAATCATCTACGTTATCTTGGATAGTTCAATCAGTCTTACTACTCTACTAGTCATCACCATTACATTATTTTAAACAAATATGTTTCAAAGTCAATTTTGTACGAATTCGAATATGATAACTAAGTGGTCAAAAGGTTGAACATTTGAGCATGAGATCGAAGAGACTGGATTTGATTCCTGCTTGTAGTAATCGTAGATGTTCACTGTTGATGAGCTCTAATACTAGGGCGAAACAACCGTCCAGTGCTTCCACGTTTATTTTACAGAAGTGATTACTTACATACGCGTTTTATCCCCCAATAGAGCATAGACCGGCCCAGAAGTACTACAGGCTGAGTTTTCAGTAAAATGATGATTACAATTAATTCAACAAAATTGTTATTAATCAATAACATGCAATTTAATCGACTAATCAATTAAAGCTTACAGTTTTTTCTGTAATTAAAATTAAAACATCGTTGCCATTACATGCTCCAATTTTCCATTTATTTCGAATATTATTTGCATATTGTATGATTGAAGCATTTTTACTTTAGAAATAATCGAAAAAAAAAATATCATAGAATTAATTATATGATAATGGCTTGATTGAGTTCAAGATTGAAAATAATGAAAAGTTTCGATAGTTGGAGAATACTGACTGCTTTATAATTCTAATCAGTTCAACTACAACTATCATAGATTCTGGATAGAACATTTGTAGAGCCATCTTGAAATTAACTAATAATCAGATATAAGAGTATGATATGGTCAGAATACAATTGATTGATTACTTGGATAGATATCAATGCTATGTATTTGTAGTCTTTCAATACTAATAGAAATCTGACAAGTAAGTAAGTAACAGTGTGAGCATTAATCTGAGTGACTTTGTGTGCACTATATTAGGTAGCTAGCAAACAAAAGCTGGACCTAGTTCTATTGGTAGTCAACACTCATCAGAAAAGTGTACTTGTAATCTTGAAGGGAATGATTATCGCTGTAGCATTTTCAAACCCGGATCACCAGGTTTCGCAGGCTGAGACATTACCACTAAAATGTATAAGACCGAGATATTTACAAATAATCGATCACTGAATATGATACTTATCTAGCCCTTAGTGCTGATAAGACTGTGTCGAACAAGTTATTCGGGTGCATTGTGTGGATCACTTTTCCTTTCTGACTAGCATCAGTTAAATAAAAAAACTAGTGAATACAGAACAACTGTTTCGTTTACACTTACACTTCTACATAAGGAACGGAGAATATTTACATATCGATATGTCGTACAGTCATACTTAACATGATTAAATGCTTAATAATTAAAAAGACATTTATTGAACAGGTTGAAATATACGCTACACAATTCATTTGTCAGTTAACACGATTTTGTAATAGGTATTTGGTGGTAGAATAAACAAAGAACATTCAAGTCTTTTATGTAACTTATTAACGGAGTAGAAATTTAAATGCTTGATTTAGAGCCATATTTTTGTGGTGTTGAATGCTAATAACTTTGGACGACTGACTGAATCATTGTGGGCAAATAAAAAACGGGGTTGGAACATTGAATATAAGTAGCCAAAAGTCAACTGTTTTCAGTATAAGGCCATCAATAGAATTGTTGAAATCATTAAAAACTTGAGAGAGTACAAATACATGACTAACGAGGTAATCCATATTTGATATTTAAAATTTTATCATGCACAAACATGTCTGACAATGTACGGAAAAAGGCAGAAGAAATATAATGAAATAAGTTTTGCAATATATCCATTTAGAATGCGTCAATATTTACAAAGATAGCTAGATATTGAGAGTAAAATACGAGATTTGTAAAGCGTAAAAAGAAGAAAAATATTATTTACGTATTTAAAAAACAAAACAAAACAAAACAACTTACTCCGAAAATGTTTTCGAAACTAGAGCTGTTACAACAAGTCTGGCATTTTGATTGACTTCATTTCTAAAACATGGATGACGACATAAACATGGTGTTTCACGAGGATAATGTAATAACAGTTCATTGATTGATTGTCCTGGAGAGAAAGAAAAACACATTTTTAAATGAAAATTAAACATTTAAAAAAGAAAAAAAAAAGAGTTTGGTTAAACAATATGTCATAATATTTAAAAAAGAAATTATTGAGATTCGATTATTTGAAGTGTAGATTAATCCATTAAGTAGTAATTCGAGAATAAATTCATTGTCATTTAGTTTTCAAACAGTAGGAATGAACGGTATAATGGTTGAATTTAACCTGAAATCAAAATTAATCAGTTGAAGCTTTAATCACTTTTAAAGAATAAACAATTAAACAATCACTTAAACAATAAAAACAACTTCTAAAAACAAGAATCAATAAACAGGAAACAAGTAAACTATTCAACTAAAAAAAATATATTTAGTTTTTAAAAAACAAAAAATACCATACTTGTTGTATACGATGCTGATGATAAAATTAACTCACTGCTCAAAAAGAATAAGGAAAAATGGGAAGTTTAGATCTGCAACTTCTAATAGTTAAAAATTAAAAACTCTAATCATAAAGAAATAGATGTATTGTTAAATATCAATAACTTTGAAAATCAGAAATATTAAAGCATTAACATTCATTTAAACACTAATACTATTACTTTATTATTTATTTTGCTACGATGATATATAATGTGATAAGTTAAATCAGTGTATGTATTTCTCTCCTTGATAAGATAGAGGATAAAGAGAGTTCGCTATCCAAATGCTCTTATATGGTCACGCTCTTATATAGCCACTGTCAGGGAAGTCCTACTCACTGACTTCTCGTTGCCGTGGCAATGGTATTTACGATATCGTGAGGACGAAGAACAAACGTTTAATAAGGAAGCAAAGGAAACAGACAAAACCTGTATAATTTTTTAAAGAATTTATATAATCTCATTTTTTCATTAAAAAAATGAACAATGCTTAAATCTATGCATAAGTTTTTAATCATTTAAAAGTGTACACTACATGTACTACATGTACTTAGATACAACCTAATATTCAAATGACTATACAGCATTGTAATACATCTATAATATTTGAACTCTGTTCAGAAGTTAACTTAATGACGCTTCATTTATTTGTAAATTAATACTAGATCGACGAAAGTATTCAACATCCAACAGTCGAATCATAGTCGGTCAGTCAGTTACAACGTAGAACTTCGTATGTAAGTACAACAGTTCGGGTTGCCATACCACATTAACACAGAGACAAAACTGTTAGTTCAAATCCTTTAGTGGTAGCGACAGTACAAGTATTAGCAGTAATGGAGAAGATTAGGCAGCGAAGATATGATTTAAGAAGTATAATTCAGTGAGATAAGTTTAGAAAGAGAAAGATAGAGATGATGGTAATTCAGAAGGTTTGAATTCGAGAGAACACAAAGAGTGAATGCACCTGCGCCATTGCAAACGATTCTGAGCCATGTCATTCAAGGTCTCTAACCATGGATGACTTTCGTCTCACGGACCCCAACCAGGTAGTCTACACCTACCAACATGGCTCAGTCCACTTGTCAGTGACTTCATGGATTTGTGCCATGTTTTGATTTGGCCGCCCCTAGCTTTCTTCCAAGCTATTCCTACATAGCAAAATATAGCTCGACGAGGCAGTCGGTGGTTAGGCATACGTAACGCATGTCCTAACCACCTCAACTAATGAAGTTTCACTACTTCATCTATTGACCTGCTATCCTTACCCAGCACCCGTTCCCTAACAACAGCATTGTCCCAGGATAAACAAGCAATATTTCGGAGACACCAATGATAGAAGACAAACAACCTACGAATCATAAGCTGACAATTCATCTCATCTATTTTAGTTATGATAGTCGAGTAGTAAACTAAACCATCACGTACACACAAACAAGTATAACTTTAAACCAAGTACACATGTTTGTACAGAAGTGACAATATTACCTCATTATCCCCTCGATAACAAAGAAAAAATCAAAAATACAATATAATAGAAAGTACATGATTATTTATTGGTCTGAATTCACAAATGAACTTTCTAAATTACTTACTTACTTACTTTCGCCTGTTACCCCCAATGGAGCATAGGCCGCCCACCAGTTTTCTCCAACCAACTCTGTCCTGGGCTTCCCTCTCCAGTTCTGTCCAATGTTTGTTCATTCCTCTCATATCTTTCTCTATTTCTCTGCGTAGTGTGTTCCTTGGCCTTCCTCTTTTCCTTTTGCCTTGAGGGTTCCATGTGAGGGCTTGTCTAGTGACGCAGTTGGGTGCTTTTCGTAGTGTATGTCCTATCCATTTCCACCGCTTCTTCCTGATTTCCTCCTCCATTGGAATCTGACTTGTTCTCTCCCACAGTTCGTTGTTGCTGATGGTGTCTGGCCAACGAATACGAAGTATTTTGCGTAGACAACTGTTAATAAACACTTGTATCTTCTGGATGATGGCTTTGGTAGTTCTCCATGTTTCCGCTCCATACAGTAGAACTGTCTTGACATTTGTATTGAAGATCCTGATTTTGGTTTTGATTGAAAGTTGTTTGGAGTTCCAGATATTTTTCAACTGTAGAAATGCAGCCCTTGCTTTGCCAATCCGCGCCCTCACATCTGCGTCCGATCCACCTTTCTCGTCGATGATGCTGCCAAGATATGTGAAGGTGTTAACGTCCTCCAAGGTATCTCCATCAAGCGTGATTCGGTTGGTGCATGTTGTGTTGCATCGGAGAATTTTGCTTTTTCCTTTATGTATGTTGAGACCTACTGCTGCAGAGGCTGCTGCTACACTGGTCGTCTTCTCTTGCATTTGTTGTTGAGTGTGCGATAGAAGAGCCAGGTCATCTGCGAAGTCCAGATCGTCCAGCTGCGTCCTAACTGTCCAGTTGATACCGTGCTTCCCTCCAGATGTTGACGTCTTCATAATCCAGTCGATGACCAGGAGAAAGAGAAAGGGTGAGAGTAAGCAACCTTGCCTGACACCGGTCTTCACCTCAAAAGAGTCTGTCAGCTGACCTCCGTGTACGATTTTGCAGTTGAATCCATCATAAGAATTCCGTATGATGTTGACTATTTTCTCAGGCACACCGTAGTGTCGAAGAAGCCTCCACAGTGTTTTCCTATCCACGCTATCGAATGCTTTCTCGTAGTCGATGAAGTTGATATAGAGTGGTGAGTTCCATTCAATTGATTGTTCCACAATGATCCGTAATGTAGCAATTTGGTCAGTACACGATCGATCCTTCCGAAATCCGGCCTGTTGATCTCGAAGTTGGGCGTCTACGAAGTCCTTCATTCTGTTTAACAATAAATACCCTGTTGAAGACTTTGCCTGGTATTGAAAGAAGAGTGATGCCTCTGTAGTTTTCACACTTGCTGAGATCGCCTTTCTTTGGTATTTTGATGAGGTATCCTTCTTTCCAATCTGATGGTACTTGTTCCTCATCCCAAATCTTCTTGAAGAGAATGTGAAATATTTTCGCGGTTGCTTCCACATCTGCTTTCATTGCCTCTGCTGGAATGTTGTCTGGTCCTGCTGCTTTGCCGTTCTTAATTTGTCTGATGGCCATACTGATCTCCTCAATCGTAGGTTCGCCAATATTTATTGGGAGATCCGTGGATGCTGCTTCGATGTTGGGTGTGTTCAGTGGAGCTGGTCGATTGTATAGTTCCTTAAAGTGCTCTACCCACCTATTTCGCTGTTGTTCAGTGTTGCTGATTACTTTGCCTTCCTTACTTTTCACTGGTCGTTCTGGTTTACGATAGTTTCCGGCGAGCTTCTTTGTAGTTTCGTACAATTGTCTCAAGTTTCCTTCTCTTGCAGCCTTTTCCGCCGTCATTGCTAGATAATCCACATATTTTCGTTTGTCATCTCTGATGCTCTTCTTCACTTCCCTGTTTGCTTCTGTATACTCGGCTTGCGCCTTAACTTTCTCTGCTCTTGTTTGGCTGACATTCACTGCTGCCTTCTTGTTCCTCCTTTCTTCAATTTTTTCAAGAGTACCAACAGAGATCCATTCCTTGTGATGGTGCTTCTTGCGACCAAGGACCTCCTGACATGTTGAAGTGATTGCCTCCTTAATCCCTTTCCAATTGTTCTCCAATGTTGCTTCCTCTCCATTGAGTAGATCCTGAAAGGCCTGGAACCTATTGGTGAGGGCTATCTTGAATTCGTTGAGTTTTACGGTATCCCGAAGAAAGGCCGTATTAAACTTCTGTGATGTTGTCTGCCCCGCTGTCCAGTGCTTCTTTAGCTTCAATCTCATTTTGGCGATCAGCAAGTGGTGATCTGAAGCTATATCAGCTCCTCTCTTGGTTCTCACATCCTCCATGGTCCTTCTGAACTTTTTGTTGATACAGATATGGTCGATTTGGTTTTGAGTAGTGTGGTCCGGTGAAATCCATGTGGCTTTGTGAATGCGTTTGTGCGGGAATATTGTGCCACCGATGACCAGTTTGTTGAAGGCACATAGGTTTGCAAATCTCTCACCGTTTTCGTTCCTTTCTCCCAGTCCATGTCGTCCCATGATGTCTTCATATCCAGTGTTGTCCATTCCAACCTTGGCATTCAGGTCTCCCATAAGAATCGTCAAATCCTTTGGTGAACATTTATCGACGACTGACTGCAGCCTTTCGTAGAATTGATCTTTAACGTCGTCATTGTAGTCATTGGTAGGTGCATAACATTGGATGACGTTCATTGTAATGTCCTGTTTCTTTGTTTTGAAGGATGCTTTAATGATCCTGGGTCCATGAGATTCCCATCCTATTAGTGCCTTTTGTGCATGTTTGGACAGCATCAGTGCAACTCCTTGTGTATGTGAAGCGTTTTCCTCTTCATGACCAGAGTATAACAGCAGTTCCCCTGAAGCAAGTCTCAGTTGTCCTACCTGTGTCCAATGTGTTTCACTGATGCCGAGCACCTCGAGGTTGTATCTTTTCATTTCTGCCGCAACTTGAAATAATCTTCCAGTCTCCCACAGTGTACGAACGTTCCATGTACCTAAAAAAATGGTTGCTCTGGTTGTCAGAAGAGGCATCGGCCCCGT